TCCGGCTGCTTTTACTGATCCAGCAAAACATGCTTAGGCCTTGCGGATCGTTGGCAATGAGGTGTACGGCCGCCATTTATTTAAAGGCGGGCATCCTTAGTCGCTACGAACAGGAGGCTTTCGAGGCTCGCAAAAAGCTTGATGAGTCGAGAACCTATCCCGGCCCCATCCGTGCTGCTACCCCCGGGGATACACGATTCTACGCTGGAAGTTTGGAATCCATTCTTCACGACACGGACAGACACTACTGGCGAGCGGTAACTGACGATCCACAAGTTCAATACAATATACCTCTACGGATTCGCTTTAAAATATTGACGTGGGTTACAACTGGCTGGGAACAACGTTTGCAAGTGGTACAGGTAATGTCTCCTAGGGACAGTACCATTAGACAACTGATTGAACTTATAACAATAGAAAACCAGTCTCCGTATCTCTGTTCAACTGCATTCACACTCTCCATTCACGGAAAGGAATTGGATCTCGATAAGACCTTGATGGACTATGACATAACGGAACACTCCCGCATCGACGCAATTGAAAAACAAGATCACTTATTGCACAAAGACAGCGAGAGGCCAAAGGACTGGACGGTTGACGAAATGACAGCTGAGTTATTTAGCCGCAGCCCATACAAGGAGATGAGCATGCAACCCCAACCCAATTTGGCGCCACGTTATGAAGCGCGCCCCACCGGCTACTTTGGAAAGAACAACTATAGCGGTATGAAACAAGATGGGTGATCTTGCCTACATTGTTTCAAGAAAATAAGCAAATATAATTACTAGTTTAATGAGAAATATGAGAAAGCATTTGGTCTCTGGATGTAAATACACATTATGACTCCCTCTTTTTTTTTCTTTTTTTTTTTTGTGTTATCTTTATTCTTTTTTTATGGTGAAACAGGCGCAATGGACATACAGAAGGAGACCGAAAGCGTTTTGGCTATAGCAGACGATGTTATTGCCTCCATTGGGACAAACTCTTTGGTATCTGGAACAGAGCTTTATCAGTCCTTCGAGGGAAGAAAAGTGTCTAAATCCTGCAAAAATGGCGTTGACAAATCAGTTCAGACTCAGACGTATTCACTACACAAATCAACGCAACATTGTGAATCTAAAAAGAATGTTGCTATACAGAACGCACCGCTGAGTTTTCACCGGAGTACAGAGACAGAGTCGTTTGGTTTTTCGACTGCGACACAAACCGAGCCGGATATCCTACCTGATATCATTAGAGTTTCTTTTCAAAAGACGTCTAATATGGTGTCTATAGCAAATCTGAAAATGGAAGAGTTATGGCTCGGTTTACAAAACCGCTTTAATCGTTGTAGTTCTGAGCTTCAAAGATTGGCAACTTTTGTAAAATCGCTCCGCAGATCACGTGATGCCCTGGAGGTCAACCTGCGGAATGCGCATATGGTAATGGAGATCACTTCGTTGGTGCAGTTAGAATTAGAAGCCCGTTTTGTTATTTGGGCAGAAGAACGGGATTCACGGAATGACATATCGTTCACGGCGTATCGTAACATGATTGGTTTCCTTAGAGAAATTGAAGCAGACTTTTTTGTAGCTCGAAGTGAATTGGTTGAAAAGCTAGACGACATAGATGCCTTGCAAAGAGAGCTTTCTGATCGCAAAGAGAAGAATGTCATGATCAGTGCCAATGGAACCGATTTAGCCTGTGATTCTGTATCGGGAAAACTTCAATCGGAAAATGAAGATGATGGGGTATCCCTCAAGGAAATGAAAAAGTTGTTAACAGAGTGTTGGGTTGTTTTGGGCCAAGACGCATAGTCTCAGTCCTGTTTTGCCCCCTATTTTTTTGTCTTTTTTTTTCTTTTGTTTACAATGGGGACACCTCTTTTTTTTTTTTGCTTTTAAACTTCTCTTCACTCTTTATTTCTCTTTCCTTGCCGAAAAAAAAAGATAGTTGAAAAAATGGCTTTTAGATTTATTACTATTCCCCTAAAGAAGCCAGCGGCTCCTGGGGCGAACTCTGATGTCGACTTGAAGAGCTCACCCTCAGACCTGAAGACGGATCTGCAGACAAAGCGTTCTTCATGCATTTCAAAGTTAGAGGATATGCGCGTTGCGTTTGAGAAGGGAGGCAAATACATGGACAATCGGTGGAGAACTGCCGAAGGGAGAGAAGGGTTGATTAATGATGTGGTAGGTGCTGTGAGTCTGTATACAACGGAATTAGCTGCAGCTTTGTACAAGTATCCTGTATTTGCTTATGGGTATTTCTACTGTTGGAATTCTCCTTTGGTAAATGAAGATCGTGTCTTTTTTGATGATTTCCGTTATGATTTGCAGTGTATGTACTTCAATATTGCGGCCATTCTGATGAACATTTCGGAATATCTTCTCTGTTCCCAAGAAGCTATTGGTAACGCTTCCGTGATAGAAAAAGAGTGTTATCATTTTCTTTTACAGGCTGCCGGCTACTTTATGCTTGTAAAGGACATTGCCGATGATATGAAGTCCTATTTTGTGGGGACAACAAAACTTGCTCCACCAGAAGATCTTACACCCGTGTTTTTGGACTTCTTCCACCTTATTGCTTTGGCTCAGGCACAAGAAATTGGGACAACGAAGGCTGTTGAAAATGAGGTAAAAGGTGGGAAAGTTCTTGTAGCAAAATTGTCGCATCAGGTTTTTAAACTGTATGATGAAGCTCGGATTAGTGCGGAAAAAAAAATCAAGTCATGTGCCAAAGGGTATATAGACGTGCTAACGTTAGTACGGATAAAGGCTGATGTTTTTCGGGCTCTTACATATTGTCACACAGCCTCCAGTGTGTTTGACAGTGATCCTAGTGAAGGTTTATGGTTTGTTTCACAATCAGATGTGTTAGCAAAAATTGTGTTAAATCATCGTGATCAGGCTAGAACGAAAAAGAAAAAAATACCTTTTCGAGGGGATGATCTTATTCAGTGCTGTTATGATATTGTGCGAAGAAATTCTGAGCGATGCACAAAGATCAATTCTTTGGTATATCGAGCGAAGGCCGCTAACGGACCATTATCTCTTCCTCCGCCAGCTGTACTGGCTCAGAAAAGGGACTTAAGACTCCCAGCCGTGTTTCCTCATCAAGTGGTTGGAAATGCACCAATTCCGGATGTGGAAGTTCAAGATTCTGAAGCGCCGGCTGCGGAAAACACGCCTTGAAAAGATGGCGCTTTGCGCGCTCGTTGGTGTATGGGTGTTTTTTTTGCTATTTTTGTTTGTTTATTTTGATACATCCAGTGCTTTGAATTGTGTGTGTGTGTGTGCAGGTGAGAAAGGGGCAATATTCCCTCATCTGTGTGAGGGAGACGACGATAATAATGAAAATATCTTTCTTTTTTTCTCTCTTTGTTTTTTTTTTCTACTATAGTCTTCTAGAATTTGCACTTCCTTTTCATCTGAAATAAAATGTTCTGCCGTACCGCTGTCCGAAACTGGGTGAATAAGAACACCAAGGTGATCTGCCAAGGTATTACTGGAAAGCACGGCACGTACCACACTGAGCAAGCCATTGCCTACGGCACAAAAATGGTCGGTGGTGTGAACCCCAAGAAGGCAGGTATGAACTATCTTGGTCTCCCTGTTTTCGGCACTGTTGCCGAGGCTTTGAAGGTGACTGGTGCTGATGCCACAGCTATCTACGTTCCAGCTGGACACTGTGCCGCCGCCATTGAAGAGGCTCTTGATGCTGAGGTTCCTCTCGTCGTCGTTATTACTGAGGGCATTCCTCAGTGGGATATGCTTCGCGTCAAGTCTATGCTTCTGTCTCAGAACAAGACCCGCCTGATTGGCCCCAACTGCCCCGGTATCATTAAGCCAGAGGAGTGCAAGATCGGTATTATGCCTGGCCACATTCACAAGAAGGGTTGCATTGGTGTGGTGTCTCGGAGCGGTACCTTGACCTACGAAGCTGTTGCACAGACAACGGCCACGAACCTTGGACAGTCGCTCTGTGTTGGCATTGGTGGTGATCCGTTCAACGGCACCAACATGATTGACTGCGTGAAGCTGTACCTTGAGGACCCTGAGACGGAGGGCATTATTCTTATTGGCGAGATTGGTGGAACTGCCGAGGAGGAGGCTGCGGAGTTCATCAAGAATCACCCGATCAAGAAGCCAGTTGTTTCCTTCATTGGTGGTGCGACTGCTCCTCCAGGCCGCCGTATGGGCCACGCCGGTGCTGTGGTTTCTGGTGGGCAGGGCACTGCCAAGGGCAAGATGGATGCGTTGGCGGCGGCGGGCGCCATTGTATCCTCTTCACCTGCAAAGCTTGGTGAGCTGATGGCCGAGGCCATTAGCAAGAAGCGCGGAACAGCGTAAAGGTAAGGAAAGAAATTGGCTGAGAAGAGCCAAAAAACAAGATGAATACTGAAAGTTAATGAATAACATGAGGTAGACTTCCCAAGCAATGGGGTCTCAAAAATAAACAAAGCAAGAATTGAAAGATAAGAAAAATCAGAAATTCGTGTGCGAAAAGGAATATGGGCACTAGCTTTTGATAGCTGAGTGGTCCTGAACTATCAAAAGAACACACAAAAAGGGCAACGTATTACATATCTGCGTGTATGCGCATACCAAAAAAGGAGACGCACAAAAATATTTGATTTTTGAAATGGGTGATGTACGAAGCGTGGTGGGCATGCTGCGGTCGGGCTTCCTTATCCAAAGGCGCTGCTTACTGTTTCTTTTTGTTTTCGCACTATTTGAACAAAAAAAAAGGTTCGGAATTTGTGGTTTCACATGAATCCTTTTTTCGGGTTGGGTGCTCCCGCATTCGTTCAGTCTCTCTGCCAACGTTTTTTAACGCAAAGGTGGCTAAGATTGGGCTTATTGGTCATGAATATATATATATATATATATATATATAT